CAAACCCTAACCTTAACCCTAAATACTAACACTAACATGAAAATTTTTATATTCAAAACTTAGAAAAATCTAGAAAACATAATAAAACATATGATAGGTGCAAAACTAACATAGGTGCGTTTTATAATAAATGAAATAAGTTTATATATAATAAATATTGGAAATTTTTAACAGCCCTAACTACTCGATAATTTTGGATAAAGATTGCAAAGACTAGTATTCTATCTTTACAAAAAAATTACAGAGCCAATTCTTTAAAAAAGAAACTTTCTTTTTTTTTTTAATTAGAAAAAAAAACATACATAATATATTAAATTTTTCATATTTAAATAAAAGAAATGATTCTGTAACATTGTTTGTAGTGACACAATACTGGTTTTTGCAAAATTTTATCCAAACTATCGACTCGTTAGGGCTGTGCATCCATTTAAAAATTATTTATCGTTATTATAACTTATAAAAATCCTCATTAATAAATTTTATTATACGACCACATATAGTTTTGATTTATATTCTATACTGCGTACCCCAGCATCATATGTAAAACTTTGTTTACAGATCAATAGAAAGTTAACATTACAAAAATTGAGCTTGCTAAAAATATGCTATTTAACGGTGCTGATAATGTACTAACAAGAGCAAATTTTTGGCAAATATAATTAATCTAATTTTATAAATATATTTGCCAATTACTATGCTAATAAAATGCTAATATTGGCAATATTTTAGCAATATTTTAGTAATAATAAAGGTCATTTATTAGATTTTTTAATAATGATAAATTATTAAAATAGAGTACTAATAATGCTTTTTATGTTGTTTATTTGCCAAAATTGCAAAAATTAAAATTTTATAATTTTGTAAAGTATTTGTTAAAATTAAGTTTATTATTACATATTTATAATCTTATATCTTAAGTCTAGTCTAAAGTCTAAAAAAAAATATAAGAAATCTGAAATCTATCGATTTTTTTTTTTAAATCGAACATTAATTTAAATGATGAAAGTGATTATAAATAATTTGTGACTATATTTAAGCCCGTTTCACAATATTAGGAGCTTATATAGCTATCCAAAAATTTTCCAATCCTATGCGGATTTATAAATAAATTATCCGAAAAATAATTATACAGTACGGATAGACCCGGATTACTCGTCAGATATCCGGTTATCCGTTTTGAAGTTAATCAGTGACTACTACTATGTATGAATAATAATAATATTATTTTTTAATGGCTATATATAAATAATAGATTATTATTGCTTTTTTTTCTTATTATCAATACTTTCGTTAAAAATGTCTAACTGTAATAAAAGATGAAACATATCTGATCCTAACATTTCCGGCTCTAACATTTCTGACTCTAATGAAATTAATGAATCTTGAAGAAGTCACTACATTCGAAGAAATTTCCAATACTATCTAAATTGGCAAGTATTTATCTAGCCGTTCCAGCAACATCCATCCAAGTGAACGTTTATTCAGTGACGCGGGTAACTTAATGACATCAAAGAGAACAAGAATTTCCCAGAACTTTTTAAAAGAATGATATTTTTAAAAAGGAATATCGATCAAATATCAAAATAGTCATCCTGAATAATACAGTCAGACCTGATAATACCCATTATTGAAACTTAAGAGAGTTCATATAAGCAATCATATGAAAATTCAAAATTACATCAGTTTAAGCACAAGCCTTAGACCAAATCGAATAATATGCATTTGACACGAAATTTCAAGCGTACCTTACAAATATCATTTAGATTGGAAGGCTATATGCAAATAAGTAGATAAAAATAGATCAAATTTAAAATTTTTTTTATCTTATTTCTATAAAGTTTAGAAATAAGATAAAAAAATTTTGTCAATTTTGGTTAGTAGTTGCTCTTTAGATATTTGTCGCATATTCTATTTGTCAACTTTAATTTGTCGAAACTTTAAGACAAAGACACGATCATACAGTATAACCACAATTGATAAAAATTTTTTCACGTTAATTTGACAATTAGAAAAATTTTTCATTAGATGATTGTCGAGAAACTTTGCTCAAATTTAAACAAATTAATTTTATTGATAGACGAATGAATTTTTTTAGACTTTGAACGAAGATTTTTCAAAAAAAAGCTCTAATTCATATTTGTCCCTCTATCTATTTCTCAAGATTTTGGGTAACTTTTTGGTAACCTTTTTTAAATTTTTTTTTTTAATCTTAGAATGAAGGCAGAGAGACGATAACCTAACCAAAATCGATAAAAATTTTTTTATTTCAATTCTACGAAACAAACTGAATTAATAGAATCGATATAAATATCCATCGATTTTATCTACAATAAGCGGTAAGCCACATGATAGTTGTATTTCAAATCTAATATTCAGATTGGTTAAAAGGACATTAGTCTCTGATTGATTGATCTCGTGCGACAAATATGTGAAAATTCACGTGTTGTGTAAAACTACAAATAGGCCAATCAGAACGAGACACCAGTGACGTTAAAAAATTCATGTGATTTTAAGGCTTTAATTTGACCAATCAGTGCGTAAATCAAAATATACGTATATTGTAAAAATAATCAAGATAACCTGTCCCGGATTTTCTATGCGCTACAATATATTATATGAAAAGATAAATATTTAGCTAACATAAAATGGCTTTTTATAAATAAAATGGCTTTTTATAAATAATGAACTTAGCCAGCAAAGCCAGCGCAAAATATTGAAAAAGTGGAAATAAATGAATCATTAAATTCTTATTTTTCTATCATATTATTGATAATAGTTAAAGATTCGTAATTGTATGTGAATTATGGAAGAAGATCAAGATCACATTAGAATACCAGTTATAATTGATAAAGAAGAACAAATAATAAAAGAATCGACATTATTTACAAAATATGCAGCAATTAGTCAGGACGAATCATTTATAGTTATCCTTGACAGTATGTTTCTGGTTAATTAATATAATTTTAATATTTATATAAAATTTAATTAAATGATTTTGAATTTGTTTTAGCGAATAATAATGATGCATTCAAATTACAAATGTATAAAATCAAGACTGATGAAATTACAAAAAACAAAGAGCTTTCCGAAGAACATTCTAAATCATTAACATTTATTGAAAATCAAAAAGTGTTGATGAAATCGGATGATTTTTCAAATTGGTCTATTGCTGTGTCAAATGAGCATCAAGAAAGATTTAGATTGGTCGCTATATCTTGCATAAGTCAAGGTGATATGCAAGATCTGTCAGGTTCGGAAAATTATAGTAGTTGTGGTTTTACCAAAATATGGATGATCAGAAACGACTTTGATATCAATGAGTGCAATATAGAAATAGAAAATGGTGGGATAATCCAACTTCTTTC